CTCTATTGCGTATTACCGGCTAGTCCATGACAAGAAGAATGGTCAAATTTGGCACTTTGAGTCCTATCCGGGGTTGGAAGCACCCACGCAAGAAATTCTTCATGTACAAGTTGGAAAGTCGAGTCTGACCATGGACTTTTTGGCCATCAAGCTCGAGTTGAGTTGGGGTTTACGCACCTGCCATTGGGATATCACAGCCTGGCGGGCTGCTCTCACGAGAGGAAATTTCCAGAACTACCAGGAGCTCTTCTCCTACTACGGTTCCGTACTTCGAGTGGGGCGACGCGATGATGGGGTGCTTTATGTTGCAAAAGACTAAGAGCCCTTGCGGGACAGTGCCGGAGACGATACCGACGAGGAGAGAGGCCTCGAGATTAGATTTGGATTCAATGACGACGCCGACTGGGAAGACGAGACCGACGATGGAGAGCAACCCGGGAGCACATTCGGGTCTACAGGGCAGCTGGTGGATAACGAGCACGGGCGGCGACCCAGGTATGGTTTTGAAACCGACGCCGACTGGGAGGGCGACACAAACACATAGACAGGACCAAAACGATGCCGAAGATGCCGGCAGCAAGACCGAAAAAGAAATGCCGCGAAGACAGCGTTTGCTAGTTATGATAGTGTATAAGAGCAACCGTCAGCGGCTGGTCAGAGCGAGTATGCAATCGATCGCAATGATCGCAATTCTTATTCAAAATATGTGTCCCTAATCTTGCCATGGATTGCTAGTCGCCATTAATGTGAAAAGATCGAAGCTATTCGTGGTCGTTGCAGTGATCCTCGTACGCATCATTCCAGAGAGATGGATGCCTTGCCGCCACGGAATGACGGCGACATCAGGTAAGAAGTAAGTCAAGTCTCCTGGATATTTAGAAGGGCGCTTACAGACTACAGTCAGCTGGTTAGAGCAGCCGTTGTGTAGTTAAGTTAAACACTACCATTCAGCGGTCGGTCAGTTTAGTTCTAGCCGTGCGCCAAGGACAGACCTTTGAAAGTGTGTTCATGCAATTTAAACGATATTTAAGAGTCTGGACTATCACTTAAAGTCGTAGTTTCAGTGTTGCTGCATATTGCTGGCTTCACCTATGTTTAACTCCTCCTACTACTCCTGGTAACAGCTCCTGTTAGAATGACTAGATCAGCTTATTTTCACGCAAGCTTCTCTATATCTAATTAAGTTTTGATTCTATGACTTCATGTTCCACTTCGTCTCATCGGTATAGCCATTGGTCCATTCCATGCAGTTGCTAATTTCGTTGGCTTTGTCCCGCGTGCTGCCGTGATAGTCACCTTGCTCTTCCGTTACCACCACATACGACCATACCCACTGGAAAACTCGGGATCCCGTCCGCTCTCCCATAGATAAGCCAGTGAGGGCTGGATCAGTAGTTGGGTCGGTGACGACCAGCGAATACCCGGTGTTGTATGTTTTTTGGTGTTTTGACCTTCAGTTTTGCAGCTCTGTTGAGGGCTGTGTATGGAAGAGCAACGATAACCCCCGAACGAAGAGGCCTCCTTCCTCTACTGAGACTCTATCCCTAGGGTGGCTTCCGAATGCAGTGTCTAATGTGGATTTGTAGACTTTTGTCATACTGGGTGGGGTTCCTCGGCTCTTCGCAACTCCATCTGAGGGCGAAGTGCAACAGGGTGTGGGAGTGTTTTGCATCACAAAGGGTTATATATTAGCTTCAACCCCACTTATCGTCTGCTTCTCAGATATTTACATAAGTAGGTATGGAACGCGGGCGTCGTTAGAAATCTATATCAGAACAAAACCTCAGCGTCCACTTTTGCCCTTTGCGATCCCCACCGCGAGATGTCCTTTAGGACGGAATGATGAGTCGACATATATTCACCATCCTTCACGAGATCCTGTTAACACTGTAAGCTTGGAAAAGTTGAATTCAGAGGCTTTTACAAACTTTTTTCGCATGCAGAAATTACCGTACTTACCAATAAAAAGCTCGGGGTCCCGTCCGCTCTCCCACAAACCACCAGCCGTTCAGCGCTAGGTTAGCAGCTGATAACCATGCCTCGTGACATGTTGTATTCGTAAATAGATAAGGTAAACAGATAGATGCGGCCTCGCATACCAGAGCTAAACCAACGACTCCTCTCTCTCTTCTACCGCCATTGATCAGGAGTTTTGCTAGTCCGGCAGTGAAATTTAGCTATCTGGGCAGTGCCTATGCGGTGGAAAAGAAGGAGAATTCCAAGGCGGATCAAACGGATAATGTGAAAATGAATGACGTGGAAACGAATGACGTGGAAACGGAGGATGTGAAAACAGAGGAGGTGGTGGCGTTGGAGGGGAAAACGAACAATGTGACGGAGGCGGAAACACCGGGGAAGGAGGTCGCGAATGCTCATAGAAGAAAGGATGACCCGGGGGTAGAGGATGGCCGTTATAGGTAATTGTAGGGGCATGTGAACAGTCCAAAAGCGAATGTTGGGGAGACGGAGGTCGACAAAGCAGAGGTTGATAAGACGGAGGTCGATAAGGCGGAATTTGGACTGGCGGAGGTTGTAGAGGAGACGGCACCGGCCGGGTCACTTCCACCGGCCGGGTCGGCGACGACTGTCCCCGACTGGGCCCGCAACAGGAACCGGCCCCTCCAGGGGTCAAGGGTATCTACCTAAGGTAGGTACGGAGGTGCGCTTCAAAAGTTTCTGCCCGAAATGCCAAGACGTTCGTACCAGAATTACCCCGTTAACGTTATCAGTACTTTCAAGTACAGACACTCGGAATAATCTCATAATTTGCCCCCTATAGAGCCCCCTGTAGGCCCCTATCGAGTCGGATTATCTGATAAGAGATGTACTCTAGAGGGATGTCATGTACCTAGGATCTTCCGGGCCCACAGCTACCTTCTAGGCGTGGGCAAGGACTTTTGAACCGCACCTCTGTAGGTAGGATAAGAAAGAGTGGGCTAGTACCCGAGAGTGCCCCTGCTTTAAGAACGAAGCGAGCAGGGGGCTCCCCCGGGTAGTGAAGTACTTATTCCAACGCCTTTCCACCTCTTCTCACTTTTCTCACATATCAAGACCAACAAGGCGTACCATACCGCCTGCTTCTTTTCCAAAAAGGCCTTCTCAACACCCACCGCATCATCATGCCTAATACCTCGACTACTTTCCCTTCCTATCAAGAGCGGCTAGATGCGGGGGCAATAGGCCTCACCCCCGACGCAGCCCGCATCTTTTGGAAGCTCCAAGGACCGCTGTCAACCTGTGTCTTCGTCGTGGAGGATCACCGCAACATGGAGTCAGCTCGCGAGCCCTACGCCCGCCAGGATTCCTGGCATCCTGTCTCCCAGGCATCGGTCACGGAACCCAAAATCGGGTCCATCGCCGTTACTGTGGACGCCCTGCGGCAGTGGCAAGAGAACTGGCTCGAGCTGCATGAGCGACATGCAGACCCCGACGATGACGATTGCGTCTTTGGAAAGCTAGATCCAGAGTTGTACGCTCAGTCGGATGATGAGGAGGAGGTCGACGAAGACAGTGAGGAAGACAGACTGGAACTTCTGCGGTGCTGCGGTACAGACCGACCCGCCAAGGGGAAGTCCCTGATTGTCAAACCTTCGGATGATTCAAAGGGATTTGTCACGGTCCATGATTACATCTCAGCAGTCCACCCGTGGCTGATGGGTATTAGGGAAGATATTATCCAAGCGGATAACGTGTGGGGAGACAGGACGGCAAAGGACTACGAAAGGCTGGTGGTCGAGTACAACATTCCGCGAACTTTGATGATCATGGACGAAGACAGGTTTCTCATGGCAAACGGCTCAAAGCAAAGGCCTTCTGCAGTCAGTACTACTTCATCCGGTATTGATTGGGCCGCAGTGGCGCGGGAACCTCCCAACTATAAGGGTATGTACATCCCCAACCTAGACACTATGCCCAAGCACCTGCTGCCCAAGGACTTGCAGTAGGGCGCGTCTGGCTGCTGGTGGGATTTGGGGGGGAATACGACTTCAAAGATTTCTTGGGGCGATTCGGCCATGAAAATCGATGCACATGGTACTCGCAGCCTGGCACGCAACAATGCCATGGCAAACCCTAAACCTGGTGGTGTTCTGTGGTTATTCCTGGGTCGTCTCCCACGAGAATTGATTGAAATCCCGTTCTTGAAGTCCTTGATTGTATCTCGGGCGTATACAAGTCCAACCGCGAAGGGGCGATGGTTTCACTCGAGGATAACCATATGCGCGATGGTGAAAAGGCGAGGGCGCATGGCAACGCTAGCGCCTCAAGGAACATTTCCGTTCAGCAAATCCGTTCGGCCATCTCGAGACGGAACGTTCCAGCCGCCGCCAGGCCGCTCCGATACTACCGGGCCTCAGTCAAGGGGCAAGCGCTTGCTGATCTGCCTGGTGAGTTCGGAGTTGAGGCGTCTCGATCCCCCCGGTTCGGGCCGGGTGCAACGCCGCTGCTAACAAGCTCGAATCTTACGACTTGTGCTGACAAAACAGCGACCGATTGTTAGGCCGCTTTGGATGTAATATTGCCTCGCTTGGTCCCTTGCTCGCACCGCTCACGCATATTAATGGCTGCTGGACGAACCGCGCCGCGTTGGCGCGCGACTGGCGCGGACGTGAATTGCCCCGTCGAGCAGACGCTCTGGGAGACGAAGCACACCAATCGAGGCTCTACTCAACGTGAACTGCAGGCTGACTGTTGAGAGAAATGCATGGGTATTCCACTCCGAGACCAGAGGCGATTGATCATCACGCCGACCCGGCGTTTACCGTACCACGCCACGATGAACTCCCAGCTCCTGCCTCGTCTCTGTTGTGGCTCACGAGATGCAGTCCTACTAGTATATAGGTCTTTAGGAAAAATAAAGGCACAAATCATGTTCGGATGGAGGGAGGAGCACGGCGCTCGAATCCAACTGAATCCTCTGCCACCAGTTCGCGCAAACCACCCGCTCCCCCGTCCCTTTACTTGACACTTCCTTGTAATCCAGCAGCACCAGACACACAAACATGAACACGGACAAGAGAACGGCTGGCGAGCTCGCCACCCTATACGCCGCGCAAATCAAGAGAAAGATCATCCTGACGACCGGCGTGTCCCCCGGTGGTGTGGGTGCCGCCTTCGTCAAGGCACTTGCGACGGCCGAGCCCGCACTGCTCGTCCTTGCTGGCCGCAACCCCGGCAAGGTCCAGCAGACTGTCGAAGCTATCTCGGAGCAAGGCTCCAGCGTGAAAGTCCGCACTCTGGACCTCGACCTCGCCTCGCTGGAAGGTGTCCGCAAGGCCGCGGCAACGGTAAACGCCTGGGACGATGTGCCCCGGATAGACGTCCTCGTGAACAATGCCGCGGTGATGGCCGTCGACTGGGCGGCCTCGCCCGAGGGACTGGATAGGCAGTTCGTCACGAACTATCTGGGTCCTTTCCTCTTCACCAACCTCCTCATGGACAAGCTGCTCAAGTCGCCTGCTCCCCGCATCGTCAACGTGACCAGTGACGGTCATCGTCTGGGCCCGGTCCGGTTCGATGATTACAACTTCCAAGTGAGCTCAGTCCCCCCTCCAGTCCCATCCCAGGCCCCGAGACCATACGCGCTAACTCTCGCTGCACAGGACGGCAAGAATTACAACAAGTGGCAGAGCTACGGCCAGTCCAAGACGGCAGTCATGCTGATGGCCATTTCGCTGGCTGAGAAGCTCGGCGCCCGGAACAAGCTGACGGCGCTCAGCGTTCACCCAGGGCTCGTCATGAGCAACCTCGGCAGCCACCTCAAGCTGTACGGCGAGTCCAACCAAGACTTCGTCTCAATGAGTATGTGCCGGTCCATCCGTCTCACGTTCCCCCCGAGACGAAGAGTCTAACAGAGGAGCAGTGGACCTCGATCGCCTTCTTGGCAACGCACCCGCCTTTATCGATTGGTCTAAGGTCTCCTTGATGCCTGATCCTCCCGAAGTCGGTGCCAACACCCTCGTGTACGGTGCCTTTGACCCGGAAGTTTCGAGTAAGTCTCCGTCGAGTTACCTGGCCCCATTTCGATGCATTCATCTGACGTCCGCAGAGCACAACGGGGGCTACCTTCTTAGCTGCCGTCTGGCCGATCCCTGGACCGACACCGTGAGGCCCTGGGCTACCAGTTCTTTCGAAGCGGCGAGGCTTTGGAAGCTTTCGGAGAAGCTGCTGGGTCAGGGGTTCTCCTTCTAAGGGGAAGAGACGACCAGCACGTACTGTGAACAATTGACACGCTTTTAAACAACTTCTTTTGTAAAGAGGGCCCGACGCTTTCTTCGGAGCGGTGCGGTATACTCTAGAAGAAACAAACCAGGTAACATGCGGCCACCGCGGGATCTAACAAGGCGTCAGAGACGGCGATGATTGTTTTGTATTTTCCCTTCCGCTCAACCACTCCGGAAGTAGATCACGGAACCTACGTTGGACTTCTCTAGCATTCACAGGGCAACGGGGTACTCTTTGGAAACGCCTTCAGCAGCAAAGAGACTGCTATTCGTCGACATCTGCGGATGCTTAGACTCTGCCTTCAGGTGAATCTAATCGACGGTCTCTGCCAGTGAACGACAGCATCCACTTTTGCTCTTCTCGGCCCCCACCAGACAGTATGGTTGGGACCGGAAGACTGGGTCGTCACATTTTGTGAAGAATTCTTTTGTGAATTTTTGTATGACCAGGGATACATAAGAGGTCCCCCTTACTCTAACTACCCCCTATATATCTAGTAAACTACCCCTATTAACTACTACTACGCTATAGCGATCGTGTATATATCCTTAAGTTCCTTTAATAGGGCGTTATACTTCGATAATATAAGATACTCGATTTAATTAACGTCGTATAGCTTATTCGTTTTAAAGTTTATTTTAATATACTTAAAATATCTCTATACCTCAGCTTAATAATATATTATTTTATTAAGGTATATTAATAGAAAGTAGTAGTATATTTAATATACTATTAAGCTTTATACTAAGGAACTAGGTTATATATATAAAAATCTATATACTTTATTTTAGTTCTTTTAAGTAATTATAAAGAGGTTATTACTACTTTTAAAGTAATAATAGATAGTATTAACGTAGTATAATAATAATATCTTAATATTAAAAGAGTAATAGGTTATAGTAGTATAAAGAGGGAGATATTTACTCCTTATTATTAAGGTGATTTACGCTCTCTTTATATACCCCTATAGGTAGCTATAGAGGTTTCTCTCCTAGGCTATCCTAGCTCTCGAATATTTCCCTGTGAGAGTTATACAGTAGTTAATAAGGTGCGCCTCTAGGCGGCAAACTGCGGAAGAAAAGTTAGAAGGGAAGAAAGACTGGGTCGTCAGATGTTAACTATCCCTCAGCTACTTCTATTGAAAGTGAAATATTTTAAGGAACAGACCCTAACGAGTATTTGAAACCTTTTGTTCTAACGAGGGTCTCATTCACTTGTGTTTACAATGCTCTCAAGAGATGTCAAGAGTGATGAGATGTTGGAAAGGTATGGTGCTTATGATGCTCGGTTTCCTCACTTATAAACCTAGACTGGGGCAAATTTAGACCGCATGTAAAAGACATCGAACCCAAAACAAACACTTCCAGACTCGATGGTAAGAATATATCAAAACGTCAGCTTAATAAATCTCAAACGCTAGAGCCTCCTCCGCTAGTACCCACAAACACCACCAGAACTGCAGTATCTTTCTTCCCTTCTAAGTTTTCTTCTTCGCAGTTTGCCGCCTAGAGGCGCACCTTATTAACTACCGTATAACTTTAATAAAGAAATATATAGAGGGAGCGTAACCTCTATAGCTAACCTATAAAGTATATAAAAAGGATTTTTAAGCTACTTAGCTAAGTAGAAATAACCCCTTATTATACTATAGCCTATATTTAAAACTTTCTAAAATAAATCTTATATATACTTCTTATTTAATTAATATAGTTTTTACTATTAATAATATTAAATATCTAAAAAAAACTAATTTACTATATATTTAATAATAGCTTAGTTATATCTTTATAACTAAAAATAATAATATAATATCTCTATACTTCTTTATAATATATATTAAGTTCTTAGAAAACCTTTAGAACTAAGTTCTCTATTAAATTAAGTAGAGATTTAAAAAAATCACTAAAAACTTAAAAAATAAGAGTAATATAAAGGAGATTAATAAGATATTTAATAAGAAATATAGTAAATAGTTCTAAAAACTAATTACTATTATTACTTTTATCTAAGGATATAGTAATTAAGAAAACTAGCTTAAGTTAGGGTAGAGGAAAAAAGGGTCCTTATATTCCCTATAGTTATATAAAAATTCACAAAAGAATTCTTCACAAAATGCAGAACTGCAGCATAAGCAGCTGTCGCAGACACAACTTCGCCTATCTTGTCCAAAAACATCGGAGCTACCGCCGCGAAGCTCGTGACGCAGATCGTTGTAGTTACGAGTGAGGTGATGAGACCTGGTTTCAGTACCATGAGTATCATGGGACCGATGAGGAACAAATTGCCAACGACAGCCAAGGCGAATACCTCCATGTATTTTCGGAGGGCCTTCCTTCGAAACCAGTAGTCAGGTTGCTGCGAGGTTTCGAATTGCTTCTTGCGATCGGGGGGTTCGGGAATAGAATTCTGTTGAGAGCGTAGCAGCCTTCCTAATTCCTTCTTAGACTTTTTGGCGGTTCCAAGGGTTTCGTCTAGTTCAGAGGACAGCAGGCTGTCTGATATTTGCTTGGGGATTTTGGCGGTTCCGCGGTCTTCGCTGCCAGTATTGAGCAGATTCTTCCAGGCATCTCTAAGCATAGCTTGTTGTGACGTTGTTTCTGTTGTGATTGTAAAAGGATCTTTGACATTCGATGTCAATCCGAACTTGTTCATGTACTCCATGTCTCGCAAGGCCGCAGCTTGTTCATGTTCATTAGCCAAAGTCGATAGTCTGTAAAGCTTTCCTGGACTCACTGTAATCCCGAAGCTCTCCATCTAGGACCTCGCAGAGCGGTTCAATGTTTTCGGGTGTTGATGTGATGATGTTGAAGGCTTGTTTCGAAATGCGTTTCAATCGGAAATGCATACACATACTTTGTAGGGCAGCCATGTCCAGGACGAAATCCTTGTTGTATCGGTAGAGAATGCGCTTCTTGTATCTGTTATGTACCCATGTTTCGAAATCTGTGTTAAAGCCGTCGTATTCAATATCAGGCGAAGAGTCTGACGTGGTCACAATGGTCTTCAAAGTCTGCCACAGCGTTCTCCACAGAGAGAGATCCGCTGGTAACAGATGGGCGAACTCCGAATCCTCTTCACCGCCTCCTTTGGCCAACTCACGTACACTTTCTTTCGGTCCCTTTTCCTCATCAATGGCGGCCATGGTCGTGTTAGTTAGGTCCCTCTTTAGTGAAGGCGCCCAAAGTCAGTCTGGTACAAGACAGACAATAAAGTGGCGTCCTGGATGCACACGTTTTAGTCGTGGTACTCAAGGGATAGCTTTTATACTTGAGGAATCTTGGTCACAACGACTGAGTGTTGCAGAAGAACAGCGCCAACTCAACTGCCCAATATTTGTAACTTCTACGATCACGAGGCTGACACTATAGCAAATCCCCTGTTGGCATGGCGTTTACCCTTTCTTATCTTGCAGATGCAAGACTCTCACCGCAATACTTACATCTGTTACGGGGGGATGGATGTATGCGAAGATCATGTCATACAGAGCGTGCATTTATGGCTTCGACACCATAGATGCTGAGAATTTCGAGACACTGATGATTTGGCATGCATATGTGAAGTAGGGCTTGTAAGACATACGCCTCTCAATAGCGTAGAACAGAGTTTCAAGAGACACCAGGCAAGCCATTTGGGCGAATGAGCGTTACCATATGGAGGAGAGAACATTATCTCTCACTGCCCTACGCATCTCCTAGGATGTCGTACAGAGCAGATCGCGAGCTGCACGGTCGCCTTTTAGGAACTTTTTGAGACTTTGTGAGATCCGATCCAATCGAATCTTGGGCCATCGATGCACTGATCAATACCAAGGCTGACACACATGACCGAGCTGAACAGAGCTCTTTCAGCAGGAAAAAACGGCGTCTGCAAAAGCAGGGGCAGTTGATAAGGCGTTGCTACGTTGATTGCAGAGAAAGATACGGCTGAGTGAATGTGTATGATTTAGGGCTTCCGACAACATGAGTCGATTCTTAAATGATTGGACAAGAGCGAATGATGGGAAACAAACTGTGAAACCCCATCTTGCATATGGCCCGGCACGACCACGCAAGCAGACGGTTCTAGCCAGCCTCTGCTGGCATTCTTTTCCCTCTGCTGCGGACATGAGTGATAGAGACGCACTTATGAACGGGACTGGAAGGTCGAGCCAGCTGCCGCTTAGACTGGTGGTCCTCGTGGAGAAAGTAGAAGTGAGAATCTAAAAATTGAATCCGAAGTTCCGTAACCAGGCATTTCCATGGTTAACATTGTGCGTGTCCATGCTATTCAGGAGGGCGCTGAGCAGACCCAACTCTACAAACTTGACATATTTCGTGGTCCATGGAGCTTTGAGAGTGCATATAAGTCGTGGGGTTATATACGTCAGGTAAAAAGGGAATGTCGTTGGGAAAGGCGGCGTCAAACTTCAAGGAGAGGGCACCGTTGTTGTTGCTCCACACAATCTACACGTTGACTCTACCAATGACGCTTCCGGAAACAAATCTTACGTTGATAGATTTCCTAGTAAGCCTTGTGAAGGTTCCAAGGTACCGAAGTCTCTCCGCCTCAGTGATACTCACGTCGCGAGTCTCAGAGCTTGAGGGGTCTTGACCTTAATTGTGGGCTCATCGGAAGTTTTATGTTTTCAGACATTCAGATGTTGTTGATAGGACTTCATGGATCTTGCTCTTGTCACTATAGGTTTCCCAAGCTAGCGAAATTCCTTTCGCTAATCGGGCGGGTAGTAGATGTATATCGATAGGGATGATCGATAACAACGACAACAATGACGACGACGACGATGATCATAATAGGAACAGAGAGAGGGATAGGAATAGCGACGAAAATAGTAAAAGTTAATTGAGATAAAATCAACTATTAGACCTAAGACAGGTAGTTGTCCGCCCGGTTAGCCAGAAGTATTCTCCCGGATAGCAAGATTCAACGAAAGAAGCATAAACGACATTCGAATTTCTTCAGTTGGACCC